GGGCTAAATTTTATCTTTCAAAAAATAAGTATAACGATATCTAATACCGGTGATATTACAGTATCAATTTAGGTGGCATGATGTGCAATTAAGCGAATCATTTAATTTTACTTCTCGTTTAATGTCACATTAATATAGAGGGCGTTTGGTGAGTATTAAAATTAGATTTTTAGTGGATTGTGATAGAAGTTTTTGAAATGTACGGTTGAAAAATTGTGGGACCCATGAAAAATATGGTTAATGTTGATTGTTTGATTTTGATTTTGATTAAAATTTGATTTTAATCAGAGACAAACAAGGCCATAATCTAAAGTGATATTTTAACACCAGTGATACTAAACGGTATTATTAGAAAAATAATATAAAGGTAACCGATAAGTAGCCTAACATCTTACCCCACGCATAAGCGAAATAAATAATTTCAAATAAGAAAAGAAAGTAAATGGGTGGCAAAATGGGACAATTGCGTTACTTTTTAAAATTGAACCCATTGACCCTGTACCTTATCTATTCCAACCAGTCATTTTACACGTGCGAAACATGCATATTCCCTATTAACTATTATCTCATATAACCCTATACTTATCACAAAGTAGTCAACATTTCAAAACACCAATTTGGACTTTGCGACATGTACATCTAAAATTATATCAAGTTACATAATTTACATGTTGCGCTATATCATTGGTTGGAGAAAAAAACAATTTCATCCAACCAATGACATGATGTCACATGTAAATTATATAACGCTGGACGTACAAGTAGAATAATCCTAAAAATTTAAATAGTTTCAGCAAAATAATCATTGAGCCTCTATTTGACACATATTAAAATTTTCATTCTCATTTTTCTACTCATTTTCAACCACAAATTCTTAATAAAATAATATTTTTCATCACATCAATAACTTTTCCTTCTTTTTCAACCACATATTCTCCATCAATCTATTATTCCAAAATAATATCCATCAAACACACCCTGAAATCTTGCTTTCAACGTATTCTTCCGGCACAAATTTTTACAACCATGGTCATTGATTGAGCAAAAAAATTATGTAGTTAGCCTACCATTTATCGAGTAGGGGGATTAGGTTGACAATATTGTTTACTTGTTTAAAATAATTTTACAACCTTAGTCATTAGCATTTTCCTTTTGTCTTCCTAAGTTATACGTGTAGTTGACAAATAGTTTAAAAGAAACAAAGAGGCGAGAGCTCATTTAGAACTTTCAACTTGGACCATTATACCTTTAATTTGTTTGTTACATATAAAGCGTTTGTTCACATTCATGCATTTCGTCATTTATCAATTTAATTCACGTAAAACAAATAATGTGATCGTTGAATCTCTTAAATAGAGTAACGTAAAAGAACTCGTAAAATTAATCTCAAATTTGTTGAATATGTTCATTTACTTGTTCGAACTAATTTCACGACTTTGTAATTATTTGCGTCTCAAACATGATTTGTCGAGATATTAAAAATGTAGGACAATTGGAGTTAGAGTTTGAAGAAAAATTGAACCGAAAATTGGCTAAAAGAGATGTTCCGAAGAAATATGCATAACTTTTTGCATCGGTGTCAGATTTTTTATTATAATATGTTTTCGAAAATATCTCTCAGTGCTCCATATCATCCCAATCCGGGTTAGTCTGGTTGAGTCGTTTCCAACCTCAAATTCACAGTTTAAGGCGTGCTACCAGGCAGTCAAAGTTTTAGCGTTATTTTTGGTTTTTTGGTTTTTAGTTGCGTTGATTTAGTGGATGTCTATTTTGGTCTTTTGCTTAAATTAGGGTTTCCAGAGACTATTTAAAGGCTCTTGATTTTCTGAAAATTTTGGAGGCTATTATTTTCTTGTGAATTACAATTTTCTCTCATTCGGATTTGCATTTGTAAACCTAGAACTTTCGTTCTGAGTCAATTGAAGAGACAACTAAGAAGTAGATAACGTATCAAAGCTCATAAAGAAGACGAATTCTCTGGATTCGATTTCAGATTTTTATTTTTATTTTTTTGATAAATTAAGGTTAATTATTGTTCCACTTTTTGATACAAAAGTTATTTAAAAAAATAGTAGTGGCACATCAATTAATGCATTAAAGAATGAAGTAGAGGTTTCTTCACGAACGGGCAATGAATTGCTTTACTTGTACTCATAACTTTATGAGTTATTACACCACTTCTTCAATTCACACTATTTTATTTTCCCATTTTATGTCACTTTTCTAGGTTGCTTCTTTAATTAACAATTAAACTACTCTTCACCCAAATAACAAAAAGTACGTATAATTTATTCCCTTGATTATGAATTATGTTATAACTCAATATCTTTTGAATATTACGTCCATTCTTTTACTTTTTCGCTACCACAAGTCCTGACTCCATTATAAATGATTGATTGTTCGATCTGTTATTTGTATCGTTTAAAAAATGTTATAATTCTTGAAATTAGGTATGATAGTGATATCTTAGCATTAGAATGTCAAAAATAATTTTTTTTGAATCTGGGTTAGACTCCAATGGTGGACCCCATCGAAGGGAAATACTATTTTAAAATTTAAGAAAATAAAAATGGTTTTATTGATTATTATTTGAGAAAAGGGGATGACCATAAATGAACATAATTTTGGAATGATTTTTCAACTTGAATGTCAGTGTACGAATTCATTTTTGAGTTCTTCTCTAACTATATATATGAAGAAAAAAAAATTGTATGCGTGCATTAGAATAGTCATGTTTTTTTATGTGATATATTACTATGTAAATGAATAAACACAATAATGCACGAACGTTTAAAATGTGCTTATGAGACGCTTACTATAACTAGAGGTGTAAAAGTAGTTCAACGAATCTATGCCATTAAGTGCCGATAAGAGATGTTTAGCTCTTTGATTCAAATTTTGGTTATCGGGTTTTACTACAATCAAATTTATTACTATATGTATATATTCTCAAATACAAATTATTCAAATTTATTTTCTATATAGGTTTTGGTGTAAAAAAAAAAATGTAAATCCTAATTTCATAAAATTGGACATTCATCACAACTTAAAAGAGATTTAAATATTATAGAGTGATTCATGGAAATTGATAGTTCAATATTACTTTCTCTTTTTCATATTTCTATAAATCAAATTGGGTTAATCGGTCGAATCAATTAATGCAAAACGGATCGTGGTATGATCCAATGACATAGTTGGACTAGTTCGCAATCGAAACAATCAGAAACCATAAAAACCATCATGTTTTCGTCTATTGTCGATAACCTAGTTTTGACATATTAATACGTTTAAAAGTAACTTTTGGGACATTCAAACCTAAAACTTTTTAATTATTAGTTAGCCCCTTGTGTATGCCAAGTTATTTTGCTGTTATTTATGACTTTCGCTAAAAATATAACTAAAATCTAATTTAAGATGAAATAGTCAATAATGTATTCCTAATTTCCTAGTGAAGGAAAACCTTGATACATTAATCGAAAATGGTATAATTCATTATTTCGTGTTAAAAAATAAATTATTCAAAACTTCTTGTAATTTTTAGTTGAGAAAGTTTGGAGTATTCCGGTGGAAGGTACTCCCATGTTCAGGACATGCACCAAGCGAAATGCCTCATATCGGATTGAAACTTCGAGCAACTTGTATAGGTTAAAAGCTAGAAGATAAGACGGCGTTGATTGTTATAAAAACGATAAAATGTTATAGTGAGCTTTCCTTATAAATAGTCAGAGGTCTTCATTTTATGAGACGTGAAGACTCGATATTCGGGTGAGCATTCTCAAGTACCTTTTTTGGGGAACAAAAGAGCATTGAATCGAATCGTGAGTCATCGATTTATTAGATATAGAGGAACCGTGACAGATATGAATGTGCTATTTTAAATCGATTGATGTCTACAACTTTATCATAACAAATCAAAAGAGATAGTAGTTGCCCCAGAACACAATAACTGACTTAAGTGAAAACTCTTCCAAAAAACACAATTGCGAGGTGCCAAGACAGATTTGTATATGAATTTCAAACCGTTCCAATAATAAAAAAATGAAAAAATCTCATATAACGATCTAACCTCAACCCATTGGTCTATAAGTGACTTGGTAACTTGCTTGAATATGGATCGAGTTTGGAACTACGATCTTTTTAGTCAATCTTCAAAGAAGAATAATGGCATAAATTTGAAGTGCTATAAGATAGCTAGGCTTTGGACTTTCAATGTAAAATTTAAAGGCAAAGGATCAGCTTGCCATGGAGACAACAAAATTGGGGACCAATGGTACAATTTTCCCAATAGAGAGAGAGAGACTTCTTATAAAACTAAACAAAAAATATAAAATAATATTATCTAGTACTTATAGCACCAATTTATATGGTTGCACTTTATAGACTGAATTAACTGAGTATATAATTGTCACGTAAATGTTTAGGAAAAATCCATTTGTACAATTATTAATATTAGGGTGTGGTCCGCTAATTAATTACATTAGGATGGGATCCGCTAATTACTATGTGAAAGGTTATAAAAATTACAACTTCTTAATAATTGTACATTGTTCAAATGTTTAACATCAATGATAATGAATAACGTTACTAAAAAATAAATGTCTGCCCAAAAATTATCGAGATAACAATGAAAAACAGCTAAGCCTGACCCGACACACGTCCTTTCTTCGTTTTGATTTTCGATTTCCGTGTCAAGCAAGCATCCATACCACACACCACACTCACCATTTCTTAACCCCTCTGCCAAACCAAATCCCAAAATCCCATCTGCTTTCATTTGTGAAACTTTGCTTGCTTTCTAATCTATCTTCATTTAAAGCTTTCTGTCAAACCCACCATTATGACTTATTATTTTTACTGTCTTTTTACTTGTACTCATCTGGGATTTTAATTTATGTGTTCAGTTTTGTGTCTCAGATTTTTTTCCGGGAGCTCCATACTCCCTTGAATTTTTGGTCTTCAGTTTATCATTTTGAGGGGTATTAAAGTATCTGAAAGTCGAGATGGGACAAGAGGTGGCGGCAGCGGGGGTGGGTGCAGCACCGGCGAGGACGGTGGCGGCACCAACAACTTCTTTGGCGCCGGGGTTCAGATTTCATCCGACGGATGAGGAGTTGGTGAGATACTATCTGAGGAGAAGGGCATGTGGGAAGCCCTTTCGATTTCAAGCTGTTACTGAAATTGATGTCTACAAATCTGAGCCATGTGAACTTGCAGGTACATATTTTCGTACGTAAATTTTCACACATATATGAATATATATGAAATTAGCAAGATGTATAATATATTTTTTGCTGATTTTATTTGGTCCGATAAGTTGGTTTTTATTTTTTATTTGTGGTTAATTATGGGTTTTTTCTGGTGCAAATATTTATTTCTTTGTGGATTCAGAATTTCTTATAGTTATTTTATTTGTGATTATTTCTGTCTAAAGATGAACTTTTATATGAAATGATAAATTAGAGGGAAATGGAAGAGAGGATTAATAGACAGAAATATATATTGAATGCCTGTATTTATAGGTATACGTGTGCGGGTGTTGAGTTGGGGATCCAAGAGTTAACTTTGAGTATCATTTGTATTGATTATGAATTTAAACTTTTGTATACTGAGTTCTTAACTTGTCATTTGATTCTCATGTGCTTACGGTTTACCTCAAATTCTACTTTTTCCATGGTTTTCTTTTGTCTGTTTGCAATTCTTTTCCAATCTTTCTAATGAATAGTCATGTCTCGTGATTTTTGCCATGAAGATTATGCATCCCTGAAGAGCAGAGATCTAGAATGGTACTTTTTCAGCCCTGTGGACAGAAAATACGGCAATGGGTCTCGGCTGAATCGTGCCACTGGTAAAGGGTACTGGAAAGCAACTGGAAAGGATCGCCCTGTGCGCCATAAATACCAGACTATTGGAATGAAGAAAACCCTTGTTTTCCATAGCGGACGAGCACCTGATGGAAAGAGAACAAATTGGGTAATGCATGAGTACAGGCTTTGCGATGCAGAATTAGAAAGGGCTAGAGTAGCACAGGTGTGGGTGGTTGTTTTAAAATTTAAAGTCGGTGCATATTTCTTTTTCTTTTTTGAAAGCTATGAATCTTAAAAGAAATTCTTCTTTTCTTTTTATGTGGGAAAAGGATGCGTTTGTGCTCTGTAGAATCTTTCAGAAGAGTGGTTTAGGACCACCTAATGGGGATAGATATGCGCCTTTTGTTGAGGAGGAATGGGATGATGATACTGCCCTTGTGGTTCCTGGTGTAGAGGCTGAAGATGATATGCCCAATGGTGATGAAGCACGGGTCGAGGGCAATCACCTTAATCAGGTTTATTTGCTCTCTCTCTTTTTTTCCTCTGAAAAGATTACTAAGTGTTATGCAATCTTTTGCATATCCGCACAGTTCATTTCCATAATGTTTATCATCTTCGTTTCCAATATTTTTTATCCTGTAATTTCCTTTGTGCATATAACCTTTTTTCAAATTTCATTGAAATTTTGTGTTCAATGACGTCATTAAATATTTTGCCATGCTACCTTGTTGTTTCTTTTCAGTGCAACCAATAAGAACCAGGACAAATGAGCTATGCCTATATTGAATTGCAAATATATATTTGCCACTCTAAATTTTAAGATGGAAAAAAAAATGAAACTTTTGTCATGGAATCATAGTACAGTTCAGTGGATGTGTATTTTTTTCTGCAACAACTACATAGAAAATGTATTTAAACTCAACTTTCAAATGTGGTAATAACACTTTGAAGACTTCCAGTTTTAACTCCTCGTCCGAGTCTATGGACCGGTAGCCTCCTCTGAGAAGGTTGGGAGAACACCGCCATACCTTTCTGTAATACTAGTTGATGGAGAATCAAAAATAATACTAATAAGACTAACTGTGGAGTTTGATTTAAATTAGATATGATTAACTTAGATTTTGTTGATTATTTTTAATTGATTAAGGTTTTTATATTTTATCAAGTTCTGATATATAAAGCTCCCTTGAGTTCCTTTTTTCTGTCAAGTTCTACGTCACTAGTTCTTTTCCCAATGCATGCGGGGAACATGACGGGGATACCTCTACTTTGAGGTGGAATACGCATACCACTTTATACTCTGTTTTTTGTGAACCACACGATGAAATATTCCATAGGATTCTCTTCATACATGTAAGGGAGCTTGAAGTATGTCTTGTCAGTCTATTATCACTACTAGCAAGTAGTTTTGTTGTATCTTGAATGTGCTAACTGTGGAAGAGACTGTGGTGCTTCTTTATTTAGAAGTTGATATTATGTACAATTGATTCTATATTAGTAAGGTGTGGGTTCAGTGATAGATACTTGTAACTTGTTGATTCATGGGCAGCAAGTATCCTATACATTCTTGTTTATAGCTTGATTATTGTGATAAGAACTTGGACAGTAAAATGAAACCATTTGGCCCCTTTTTGATGACCATTATTTAGAGAAATTGGAATTTTGAATAATGATTTTTTCGAGAATGTGTGGTTAAAAAATAGGGAAAAGTTTTGGATTTTGTGTCTAAAATATTTCATTGTGTATATTTGCGGTTGAAAATGAGTATAATAATTAAAGAGTTTTGAAATAATGGTTGTCAAACGGGTGATGATCTCAAACCAGTAACCACAAATTCTATCACCTCTGAAGTGATTACGTTCTTTCCAGTTAGGCTTCTGTTTGCTTGAGCGGAAAGTGGTCTATTCCTTGTTTGATCTAGCAGCGCTAGGAAAAATGAAAAAGACCTTGTGGAAATGATAAAATCAGCCTTGCTTTTGCTTTGCTGTTGGGCTCTTGGAAAGTGCCTAAAATGTCTGTTAACAAAATTGATAAGATAGATAAATATTAAGAAACAAACTGTCATTTTTTCGTGTTTGATTCCAAATATACCTTTATGGACTAAATTGGCAAATTTGCTGCAACCATCAGGCATCTTGCTTGGATGCAAAGTTAATCAATTCCGGACTTGAATTTCTTAGAAAATTTAGGAGTAATATGTTGCTGCTGCTTATTTTCATTCTACAAGTATTTAGCTCTTTATTGATCTGAGAAAGTGAGCGTACAGCCATACCTTTTACTGATAATTATGTAGGCGACTTTTGAGTGCTGTTAGTATAAATTCTGCCGTACATAATGTTAGATTCTACTGTTAATATTATCATTCTTTGGCTATACCACTGTTGTCAATAGCTTTTCGAAATATTATACATTTCTTAATGCATTCAAACTTGGCTCCGCTATGGGAATTCTATCTTTCGTCATATTTCAACTCACTCAAATTTGTCACAGGATGCTCATCCTCTCAGCATGGCTCCTCCCCAAGTCGAGAATCAAATTGAGCTGCAGAGTCTCTCGTTTGCTTTCAAGAGGGAGAGATCTGAAGAAGATCCCGAACCACTTTCTTTATCTCAAAGCAAAAGATCAAAGCATGATGATCCTAACTCAAGCCATGCAAATGGATCAGAAGATTCAACCACGACAAGCCATGATCCCTCAACAATGATGATGACGACAAATTTTTCACCTGCACTTCTGGAATTTCCTTTGTTAGAACCTGTAGAACCTAAAGAGAATAATCCAGTTAACCTGCTTACCTTCGATTCCTCTAACCTCGAGAGGTCTGTGCCTCCCGGATATTTGAAATTTATCAGCAATTTGGAGAACGGGATCTTGAATGTCTCCATGGAGAGGGAAACACTGAAAATTGAAGTGATGAGGGCCCAAGCGATGATCAACGTTCTTCAGTCCCGTATTGAGATCTTAACTAAAGAAAACGAGGATTTAAGACAACATCGTGTTCATGAGGGCTAGATAATTGCGGCACCTATACATTTGTAGTTCTGTAGTTTTCTTGCTCAATCCCCTTTGAACTGTCTGCATCTTGGATCAACTTTCAGGACGGTAAGATCGAGTAACGGCGTATCAAGACATTTAGCTGTTTATTATGTAATATTTCGGTACTTTAATGAACTCTACTGATGCATCCGTCGAAAATGCTCGTCTAGTGAAATCGAACTCTTTCAAATAAAGTTGAGATTGAACAATTTTGGTGGTTTTATTTCTACTAGTCCGAGTTGTTGGAAATTTGGAATGCAGAATTACGTAGAATTTTTTTAAAAAAAATTCTTTAATTCAAGAAACAAAATCGTGTATATAAAAAATTAGGTATTCGAATGTTTATCTAAATTCAATGGTTAATTGTTAAATTAATTTTGAATCACAAACTTTCATCTTTTTGAATTACGAGCCTCTAGCCATTTTTAATTGAAAAATGTTATTCATCTCCAGTGGGGATGGATTCATAGTCTATGTGGATGTAAATGATTGGTTAAATGATATGTGAAATTAAATGACTTATTTAATTTCACCTATCATTTAATGCCAGATTAACGCCACATAGACTGGGGATGCATCCCCACTGGGGATGAATAACAGTTCTCTTTTTAATTCTACCTTCAAGTTTTTTATGGTATTCTTCAAAAGCGAGACTACACCGGTGGGTGGACACTTTCTTTTAATTAAATTAAGAAACTAATTTTTAAACTCGACAATTGAATGAAGTAAGAAAAATATTTAGTCTCTCTCTCTCACTCACTCAAAATTTGAACACTATAGAATTATGTGTGACGATTGTTGTAGAATTTATAAGTCCATCTAGTCTCCATTAGTAGAGATAGAAATGCTCCAATTCATGTAAAATAAGAATTCCACATTCAAATATGAATTTTAATTAAAATCCAAGTTTAATTAGTTTATATTTAATTATATGTGTAGTCCTAGAATGTCAGTTACGATTATAATTAAGTTTACAACTTTTATAGCAATCATAACTAAGCGCAAAACTTTATTATAATTACAATTAAGCCTAAAACTATTATAATTATTGTAATTAAGTCTCAATAATTTATAGAGCTATCACATGAACTTGAACGGACATATATTATCCAAACTCCAATAATTAGATTTTGTTTAGTCGATCATAGACCACTCAATTTAATTATTAGTCTTTGACTTTTCCACAAAAGGCAAAAGACTAAACTTTCGGAATATATAAGATCACAGAAACCAATAAATCTATAAAACTTTCCTCTAACCCGTCGTATATGTATTTTATCCTCGTCTAAGACTCGATAATTAGGTACGAGCATAAATGACATTTTTGCCCCTCTAATTATTCTCACTAATTTAATACAATTTTCTTCAACGGTCTTGTGAACTAATCATAGGTATCGAAATTTAACCGTCATTAAATACTGAGTTCGGATTTTAACCGTTCAACAGAAAATACTTAAATAGTTACTCTTATCGATTTTTCAAGGCGACGGTTCCCAACACTAATTCATGTTCACTATTTCCTTATTCTCAAGTTCTCAACTGACCGAAATATTTGATCAATCAAATTGGTCTAACTCATTGGTGAATCAAAGAACCATTAAAATCACGAAAATATATGCATTACCATGTCAAGGGATTTAGATGAAATACACGACGATCAAGTGGAATTTAATTCTTCACACGATCATGTTATAGAATTAAACTCGACACATGGTTTGTTCAATACACTCTAAGTGCATTAGTGTCACCTTTAACTATTTTTGTAATAAATAAATAAAATCACAATTTATTCATTATAAATTATTATTTTATTATAGAAAAATATACTATATGACAAATAACATAATAGAAAGTGCTTTACATGTTATTTTGAAATATTTTATAAGTGTTATGAAAGTAATATTCCCTTAAAAATAAATTTTAATTATTATACATGTACGTAAATAGTGAAATGCATACTTGAACATGAGTATTAGAATTACAAGTAAATGCATAAACGCAGATGAATGGTAAATACGATACATGAATTAACGTGAATGTTAGTTAGTTGAGAATTAATATCAAAGAATATATACGTGACTTTAAATGTTAAATCATTTATACCAAATGAATAAAATTTAATTTTCGATTAAGTGAAACTAGATGTTGTTAGCATATATAAACGTGAATAATGAATTGCATTATTGAATGTAAGATTTTAATAAATATTAGTTAATTGAATTTGAATTTGAATTAATTGAGAATTAACAAGAAGGACATGGACGTGAATGTGAAATTCAAATTAATATTAATTAAATAAATGTGAATATTAATTAATTGAGAATTAATAACAGAAAATATATACATTAACAAGAATTTTGTAGTATTTGTTATAGTTTGTAAACTAAATACATGATGAAAAATAAAAAAAGTAAGGTATTATTGAAATAATTGAATTGTAGTATGATTATAATCGTCCAAAAAATAATTATCACTTAAAGTGATATTTAATATATTATAGATAGTAGACTGCTTGCGAAAAATATGAAATAATTTCGTTCGATTGCTTCCGGAATGGTGTTTGTCACGGGCTTGTTTTAGCTTTTAGTTGATGAGACTGAAATTAGAATCTAAGATAGAATATCGAATAAATAACAATATTATATCAAACTTTGATTATCTCGGCATCTTAGGTTTGCTAATCAATTATGAGAGACTCGAAGGGGGTGTACTGAAAATATTAAAATACATCACACAGATAAATAAATGTTACTATGAATTATTTTATGGGACGAAATGCATCTAAGTCAAAATGGGAATTTTATGAAATTATTAGACGATAATCTATAATTATTAGTAGGGCGTTTCCGGTTTCGATTTACATTAAACGAGCTTATATTGTGCTCAACACGAAGGAAACATAGATGAGGATGTTGATACATTTGTCGGGGGCAAAATCAATGAATGTTCATTAAACTTTAATCGGGTTACTACTTACTGAACTTAACAGGATTTCCAATGCTCACCCATCTATCAACGTGTTTTTCATCCACCACTCGACAAGAATTTGTCTCCATCTCTTGACGGAAATGACCACGTGGCTCACAAAAATCCTTGCTGGTAGCAGATGACGTGAAATTATCCCTCATCAGGTAAAACCCTCCACACAAAAAAAACACAACTTTGATTATTTGTCCAAACACGACTTTGAAAAGGAGAAACAAAGTTCACTGGAAAGTTACTAGCAAGTATTCGACATATCACCACTATTACTAGTATATACTTCTCCAATAATAGTGGAAAGATTTCATCAAGTTTGGAAATCTAAACAATTTGCACACACTCAATTTATAAAGAAACAAGCTATTGGGTCAAATTCATTCCTAGCTGTGCCACAGTAAACTTAGGATTTTGGTTGGATTTACGGTGGGTTACGATGAAGAAAGGTAGGAAAAGCAAGTGAAATCTGATTTGGAATCTTGCTAAGTTGTGTTTTTTTTTTGTCCATTCAACGTTGTGTTTTTGGAGTGGGGTGTTTTGTCTCAGGTGGACAAATTTAATTACATGCCATCATGGATTCCTTTCTGCCACAATAATTTTTTTGTCAAGAGATAGCACTGGATTCTTTTTTTTTTTTTTTTT